ACTTGCCCCGCAGCTCCGTGCCGGGCCGCCTCTCCCCCCATGCCCGCCCCGCTGCTGTCGGCGCGGGGAGCCCCCCCCGCCCCTTCCACGCTAAGGATCGGTGTCACTAGAGGGGGGCCGCGGCGCCCGGCCCCACGCGTGGGTGCGGGCGGCCCTTCGGCGGGGGCGCGCTGCGAGGGCTGCCCTCCGTGGCCCAAGTTTGGGAGCTCGCACGGGCAGCGAACCCGTCCCCCCGGGTCCTGCCCTGTTCGGGGGCGGGGAGGGGGGCGAGACGGGGCGCTCCCCGCAGCGGCTCTTCTCCCCGCGGCCCGCCGGCGGGGAACCAAGTCACTAACGCGGGTGGGTGGGTAACGTGCCCATCACTAAGGACCGGCCGGAGCGGCCCCGTCTTGCTGCCCACGCAGCCGCGGGAAAGCCGCTCCCGAGTTAAAAAGAAAGAAATCTCCCTGCCGCCGCTGCTGCAGCCGGTAACACCCGCCCCGGATCCCGGCACCGGTGCGGGAGACGAAGCCTTTGGGGGCCGCTTCCCCCGGGAGGCAGCGCTCGGCCCGTCGGGGCACTCCCGGCGGCTGTAGCCCCGGGCCTGGCGCGGTGCGGGGCGAGGGGACGGCGGTGCGGGGCTGCTGTCACCGCTGCCCTCCCCGCCCGCCCCGGCGGTGGGAGAGCCCCGCTATTTGCCGGGCCGGGCAGCCCCGCACGGCCGGGTGCCCTCGCAAGCCGTGTCGTGCCTGGCTCCGGGGCTCGTCCCGGGGGCCGTTGCCGGCCACCTCAGCGTCGTGGGTGACCGTAAATCCCCCGGTGCGTCCCGGTTCTCGGACCCCAGCTCCAGCGCCGGGCGCCCTCGGAGCGGTGCCCGGTGCCCGTCGCACCCTCCCGGCCTTCGGGACCCTCTGCCCGCCGGGTGGGCTTCGCCGGCAGTTGTTTTTACGTGACACCGTAAGAATGAGGGGCGAGGGGGCCGGGGCGGACGGCGAGTGGGCCCGGCGGAGATCCGCGCTGCGCTCCGCGGGCGCGGAGAGGCGCGCACAGCCGGCCTGGAGGGCTCGGTGCCGGCGTGTTCCTGCCGGGGTGACATGTTCAGGCTCCCGTTGTAGCTGTAAGTGCCGCAGGGGCTGCAGAACAAGGGTGCAGAAGTGTGTCTGGACGCAGGGGGAGATAGGCTAAATTTGGCGGGTGAATGACTCGCTTGAATTCTTTCCCCCTTTTTTTTTTTTTTTTTTTTTTTTTTTTTTTAAAAAAAAAAAAAAAAAAAAAAAAAAAAAAAAAAAAAAAAAAAAGTTCTAGGAAAAATATTAAACCCAGGGGCTGCAGAACAAGGGTGCAGAAGTGTGTCTGGACGCAGGGGGAGATAGGCTAAATTTGGCGGGTGAATGACTCGCTTGAATTCTTTCCCCCTTTTTTTTTTTTTTTTTTTTTTTTTTTCTTTGAAAGGACACCGGGGATACACGTAGAGGTGAAGCCGAATCGTGCGAACGCTGGTAAATAAATAAATAGCTGCCTTCGACGCTGAGCTTGTTACTACCGGGGCTCAGCTTCACTTCAACCACCCTTGATTTACCCAAAAGAGAAGCGGAGGCTCTGGGAGCAAAGCGATGTCCCCAAGGTCACTGGGCAGAGCGGTGGCAGCTCGCCTGGCCCCAGCCCTGGGGACCATGTGCGCAGGCTGCCACCCCCCATCCCGCCCCGACGGCTCCTCTCTGGAGCTGGTTGCAGGTTTTCTTCCTCCAGCCCCGTGTCTTGCAACTTTTTCAAGTCTAAACTCACCGGCCCCGCGACCCGCCACACCAGTAAGCCCAACTGGAATGAAACAAAAAAAAAAAATAAAAAGCCCTTTCCACTCGTCCACCCTGTCAGGCACCGAGTGCTCCAGACCCTTTCTCTCTTTTAATCCCGGAGGATAGGCAGCCTCTTAAGGAATGCAAGTTGATGTTTCAAAGCTCAGCAGCGAAAGTAATCCCCCACCCATCACCCAAATTTTAGAGATGGAGGAAAAGCTCTTCTTCCTCCTGAATTTAATCCCTCAGAAGGGGTCCAGGGGACCCCTCGTGTTCAGGATTTGTAGTGAGCAAGTCGTCCCTGGTGCCTTCTCTAGGGCCTGGTGGCTTGGGCAGTGGCAGGACATCCTCCTGCTGCTGTGGGTGGGTGTGGGGCTCTTTCTGTCCCTCACTGTTCACCATGGCCCTTTCTGTCCCCTGACTGACTGCAAGTGTGGTCCATGCTAGTGAACTCTCTCATAGAATCCAATCTTGCTTTAAACTCCTGTAGAAATCCCAGGTCCTTTTCCTGGTAGTTAATAGATCATAAGGAACTCACCAGGTCCTTTTCTTGGCAATTAATAGATCGTCAGGTGGTCACCAGATCCTTTTCTCCTTTTCTTGGTCATTAATAGATTATAAGGTAGTCACACTGTTTATTTTCCAAGTTATGGGCGTTTTGGATCCCAACAAAAAGTAATCTATGTTCACAAAGCGTGAATTCAAAGCCTGGGTGTGCTCAGATCTGTGGGTTCTCTTCTCCTGCCCCTCTGCCTCTGCCTAAGACTTGGTGTCTGTCATAGTCTTCAGGTCAAAATACTACATTTCTTCCAGATATGAGGGTTGTCAGGTTTACATTCAGCTGCAAGGTTTGTCTCGTCAGAAATAAATCCTCCAAATTTTGGTGTCTCTGAAGAGAAAAGGTTTGCCACAAGCTGACAGCCTTCTGTGCTTGCATTTCTTACTTTAAGGGGGAAAAAAAAAACCAGATGCAAGAAACTTAGAAAAATTTTTGCAGTGTGCCCATGACCATGGGTGATTCCTCTGTTCCTTTGGAGTCTGACAACCAAATTGAAAGTGACAGGGGAATATTGTTGAAACTGCCTTTTCTTTGATCATTTTCCTTGCTGTGTCTGTTCCAACTAAATGAGAGAATGGGGCTGCGAATACATAGCAGGTTTTCTTTTATTATATTTTTTTTCAGGGGTGGGGAAGGTCCAAGTATTCTCAGGCATAAAAAGAAGAACACCCCGCAAACGCAAAGGCCCGATTCTGCTCTTACTTATGCTGATGTGCATTAAAAATATCTCTACTGATATCAGTAAAGCATCATCAGTGTGTGCGTATGAGAAAGAGGAGAACTGGGTGCCTTATGTGTGTGATTGCTGAATTTAGAGCCTTCGCTTGCTTCCTTTTGCCCCATCTCCTCCTTTCAGAAAGGAAACCTTTGGAAGAAAATTCCTTTAACCTGGAGAGTGAACGCAACCTAGGTGGTTTAGCAAAGTGCAATGTAATTCAAGAACCTGGTATTGCTGGAAATAGAATTGTTAAAAATAATTAAAAAGCAAGAAAGAAAACAAACAACAAAAAAACCTCACAACCTCCAGAGAGGAGAAAGTGAACTAAACTAATCCTATTAAACGTGGTAGCATGTTTCTGTGCAGCTCGCTGAGAGATTAAGCACAGGAAAAGGGATAAGTGCTGCTTCAGTTTCACTAAACTAATGTGACAACTTGTCATTGGAAATCTTTACAGCTTGTTAGCAGATGACTAGCTGATTCAGATATGTTTTCTACCATTTCCTTTGTGTCTGGGGGTGGTGTTTTTTCTTTCCTGTTCTTTTCTTATTCATACTGCTTTATTTTGCTTTTTAATCCTTCATGTCTCCTTCAAGTCAAAACATTTAACTTGCTTTAATCAATATTTTGTTTTGAAGATGTCCCTTGACCTTTTGTTTGTGCAAATTAACCTTCAAGGGCACCTCATTCATTCATTAACCTCAGTGGGATGCCGTATCCCAAGTACATGGCATTTTAGGATGCATAAAACATTTATGAGTGTTTAGACATATTGCAGTGAATGACTGTGATACTGCTGTTGCTACTACTACTGCTACTAATATATTTATTTTCCTTCCATCTCTTTTTTTCTTTTCTTTTCTTTTCTTTTCTTTTCTTTTCTTTTCTTTTCTTTTCTTTTCTTTTCTTTTCTTTTCTTTTCTTTTCTTTTCTTTTCTTTTCTTTTCTTTTCTTTTTTCTTTCCTTCTTTCTTTCCTTCTTTCTTTCCTTCTTTCCTTCTTTTTCTTCTATATCCCTCTTTCTTCTTTCATTTTCTTTCTTTTTCTTTATTCTGTCCTTTTTTATTTTTCTTGGTTCTCTTTCTTTCTTCTTTCTTTTATCTCTTTCTTACTTCACATGTTGCTTGTGTGCAGAAGGCAAGCAAAATAGCAAGGCTGGGAGGCTTTTAGCATTAGTAATTTTATGTCAAATGCAGCTGTCTAGCTTCTTTAGAAAAATATGCTGACTTCTCTCTTCTCTTCTCTTCTCTTCTCTTCTCTTCTCTTCTCTTCTCTTCTCT